TATCACAAGTCTCCCACTAAAAAAAGCATAGAGCTCAAAGTATAAGCTCATAAAAATCGGGTCAAAAAAGGGATGAAGAAACAGGTTTTATCCCATTTATCTTTTTTTTATAGATTATCCACTTATGCTATAAAGGTTGACTCATTGTATCAAAAAGTATTAAATGATAATTATATATCATATCATCTATATATTTATGAAATAAATTCTGGTTCGGTAATAAAGATTACGTAAATTATCTAAAAGAATACTTTTGCATATTATAAAAATAATACTAGTTGAGACTTTAAATCGATAGAAATGATTAGGCAGTACTCCTCAGAATTCTGATCCAAAGTATGCTCTTATCCACCAATTAAAGAAATGACTATGGAAAACGAAATTATCTTTTATCTTTTTTTAAGTCTCTTTTTTCTCATAACGTAGTAGAGACAAAAAATTCAATGGTGAGATTAATTAAATAGGAGTAATTTCATGTACTTTATCACTTATAAAAGTTTGCACTACAGGAGCACATTCGAATTACTCTTAAAAAAAAAAAAAAAAAAAAAAAATTTTGAATTCTACGCTGTGTTTTAAAACTCAGGTTGGTCCTATCGGTTTAACCGATCGAACAGTCAACTGGTGGCCAAGCAAGGTCGGTTAGGGTCGAAAACTGGAATTGTAATTAACCCGTTTTGACCCATGTTTGGACTGGTTTTACTGTAGCGAACCACCAATCCAACCAGTTTTTTGTCGAAACCAGATTAACTTAAATTCCCAAATTTCCATGGCTAGAGTTTCAGTCGGTGGGGAGGTGTCATCGACCAAGAAAACACAACAAAATACAACCAAAACAAGCACAAGGCAACCTAGAAGTCAAAACCAATAAAAAATCAATCGAAAATCTGACCAATCCCACACCAAAACAATTGGAATTGTAGCGGCTGGATGTGGCTCTCAACTGGTGTTCGATGGGCACACAGGAATCGAGGTTATGGGTGTTTTGAAAGGTGGATCACGGTGAGTTGGGAGGTGGTGTCGGATTGAGTTTTGGTCGCTAGAATTGCCAGAATTTGGCCAAGAAACGGCGAAACTCTAGCTTGTCATTGTTGACAATCAGTGGGTGGAATGATTTGGAAATTTTGGGGGTTTTGTAGGGGAGTAGCTAGTGAGTCTAAGGGTGGTGGTGGTTGGGGTTGTCGCTCAAAAAGGTCGAAAACTGACAAAGGACAATCGTTTGATGTAGTTGTCGTGGCCAGCAATTAGCAGGTGATGAGATAGGATAAAGGGTATGGTTTTGAAGGGAGACGGTGGGGGTTCCAATGTGGTGACGAGAGTATTTTGGGTGAGAAAACAACCAAAAAAAAGGGAAAAAGGTCGGTGCCCCAATCTGGCCAAACGAAGAGGAGATGAAGAGAAAGAGGGGAATAAAAAGAAAAGAGGAAGGAAAAAGAGAAAAAAAAAAAGTATAGATGCTGCAAGGGTGTGTTTACTTTATTTCAAACCTATAGGGACTGATGTGTAATTTGCAGGGGTGTGTTTGCTAGATTTCAAATTGGCAAGGACTGATGAAATATTTCAAGGATGTGTTTGATTAGAATCTAATTGTCATTAATAGTCCGTTTAATCCTATATTAATTTGAATAGTTGAAAATCAATCAAGGGAGCCATAAATTATACAAGAACAAATTAATTACTTAAATTGACATTTAAAATGGTTGTAAAATAAATTTATCAATTAATTTGAAGAAGGAAGCGGAACTATATGTTATATTCAAAGAATTCATTCATTGTATTATAAAGATGAAGAGACACAATAAATTGTATCATATAACAAGAATGTAAAAGAAAAACACATTTGTCTAGAAATTACTACTTTAATAATTAATTATTTCACATTATTAATTGATCAAATTCAAATGTGATTATAATAATATAATTGTGGAAACATTCAGTGAAACCCATACATAAATGAGTAATAATAGAGAAATTGTCTATATTAAATATAATAAGCTAAATATGCATATATAAATTACTTAATATATATGTAAATGACTATATATATATATATATGATAATAACATATTTTTTATTCAAATAACTTGTAAATATTAATAACATAAATACATAATATATATGCATTAAGTCATTTAAATTAATTAATAATAAATTATGGTAATGACGTAACGAATAGAACTATAGTTATTTATTTAGAATTTATCTTAAATTCTATTTAATAATTTGATAAGAGATTTAAAAAAATTATATCTTAAATAGAAATAATTTATTATTTATCAAATAGATATAATGTATCATTTCCTAAGAGACATATTTTTTTATAAGACCTAAAATAATTATGGATATAAAGTCTCTTAACAATATTAATATAGTACAAGTATGATACTATAATAGTATTAGTATATGTATCACTTGATATATATATATATTTTTTTTTTTTTTTTATTTGGGCATTCCCTGAAATCCCCGTGGGTTGGATTTGAGGATTCCTCGAAATCCCCAATTCGAGAACGGGTCGAATTCGACTAATCCCCTTGGGCTTCCCAATTGAGCCCTCGGAGACAAGGGTCCCCGACCCCGACCCAACCCATGCCCATCCAGAGAAAACACAACAACACACGACCAAAACAAGCACAAGGCAACCAGGAAGCCAAAACCAATAAAATCAATTGAAAATCTAATCAATCCTACACTAAAACAATTCAAATCGCGGCTCTCGGCTGACGTTCAGTGACCAAACAGGAATCGAGGTTAAGGAGACTTTGAAGGATGGATCACGATGAGTCGAGAGGTGGTGTCAGATTGAGTTTTGGTCGCCAGAATCACCGAAATTTGGCCAAGAAACGGCGAAAACCTAGCTTGTGATTGCTGATGATTGGTGGGTGGAATGGCTTGGGAATTTTGGGGGCTTTTGTAGGGGAGTAGTTGGCAAGTCTAAGGGTGGTGGTGGTTGCGGTTGTTGTCACTTAAAACGGTTGAAAATCAGCTAAGGGTAGTCCCTCAATGCGGTTGTTGTGGCCGACGATCGAAAATTGATGAGAGGGGATAAAAGGTATGGTTTTGAAGTGGGAAGGGTGGGTGTTCTAATGGTGGTGACGGGGGGTGATTTTGGATGAGAAAACAGCTAAAAAAAGGGGAAAAAGCTAGCATCGTAATCTGGTGAAATGAAGAGGAGACAAAGAGAAAGAGGGGGAGAAAAAGAAAAGAGGAAGGAAAAAGAGAAAAAAAAAAAAAGTATAGACGCTGCAGGGGTGTGTTTACTTTATTTCAAACCTACAGGGACTGGTGTAATTTGCAGGGGTGTGTTTGCTGGATTTCAAACTGGTAGGGACTGATGTGTAATTTTCCAGATGTGTTTGATGCACATTAAAACATTGATTCTACATAACATTTTACATTGATACAACATGATTTTGCCGAAATATCATAGATATATCTTATGACACCAAATGGAGTCACAAGATTGTTAACAATTTATCAAAATTGTTGGCGTCGATGATCAGAAAAATATTACAACTCAAACTATCTCGTCGGTGCAAGCTATAAATGTCAGGTTCACGTTTGCATAACCAATAAAATCTTTATATAAGTATACAGACAACATAATACATTCGGCTTATGAACAAAGAAATTAGCACGGAAGAAGAAGAAGAATGCTATCTCCTAATAATGGTTCAGAAATTTCATGGGCATGGACAGCCTGTACACAAATAAATAAATCAATGGTAACAACTCAACTCAACTCAATCTCAGAAGTGAGTTAATTTGTTTTTTTCTAAATGTTATCAAGGGCAAGTGAAATCATCATCAGAACTGTTATGATAATTAGAGCAAGGAGAAGGTGCTATGGGAGGCACTGGTCCCTTCGGTAGCCTCTCTGAAATCATGCTGCCAAACCGTGTTATCTTCTTCACTTGCTTCATCCTGCTGCTGCACCCTCTACCTGAAAACAGAAACAAAAACACAAGAAAAACAACCGCAACAACTCTCAAACCCTTGACGCGTTTCCGTAAACAGTATGACATGTTTTAACACTTTCTATTATATCTCCTTCTGCCACAAAGATATTTATAACAAAGATTGAGTGCAGAGAACTTGAGGGTGGTGGTGGTGGGGTTATCATTGATGTTATTGAATAACTTGAAGAAGTGAAGTGGAAGTCCTTGTATTGAAAAATTAATGGAAGAGCAGCCAATCTGGAAAAAAACAAGTGGAAATTAATAATTCGTCCCTTATGCAGCCTTTTAAGCATGCCGACCTTTTTATTAATAAATTTCATTTTTTTCCTTTCACATTGTCGTGTTTTCTGCTCAACTCTGGGAGTAGGCTCTCGAGAAGGTTCAACAATCTCTAAAATGCCGTAATCGTGTATCCAACAATCACCTCGGGTCAGTTTATAAATCGGTTCAATCCCTTGACTAAGTAGACACATTTTTTTTTTTTTTTTTATGAGGGGGTGTTTGTGTCAGTTTATACATACTTTAACTAATTCTTCGGAACTTTAAAACTATTGATTAGGTACGTAAGAGCTCCACATTTTAAATGAAAGAAGTTTAAAAGCAAACTTATACGGGTTAAGTGGCCCAAAATAAACAGTAACAAATGACAATCTAGGTTAATTTATAAATTGAAGTGATCCCTCAACTAAGTAGACACATTTTGAATGAAAGAAATCCAAAAATAAACTCGTGGTAGCTAGATTGTACAAAACGGACAATATCTAAGGCTGTTAGAAGTGTTCCCTTATTTAGAAAAATTTGGTATATCTATCACTTTCCAAAGTAAATGGGTTCAAATGATAGTTCTCAAACCTTTTGGGTTAAAAAGTTTTTACACTACGTGGGCGCGACGAAACGTTACCTTTGCGAGAAGACGACGTCGTTGTACAACGTACGAAGTCCGGACGACATGTCACACATTTAAATTTCCAAAAACGACATATCGTGGTTACAAATAACTGTCGCCTTGAAAAGTCCAGTTTAATTTGTTTAATTTGTTTAAGATAAAGCCCGCAGACTGCAGAGTTCACTCCAGTCTTCTTCTCCGGCAAACTCGCCACAACTCTCCTATCAGGTTAAATCTTATTCATTTATTTATCTATTTTTTCTTTTTATTAATGAGTTTTATTCGAATTTTTCGTTCTTTTTATTTTTTATTTTTATTTGGTTATTGTTTCATGGCGCGCAGCTCACAGTTGAAGCTCTCTTGTTTTTAAAGCTACTGAATTCAAAAGCAATTAATGCCTAGGGTTTTATTTTTTCCTCCATTAATTTTGCCTCGCTTTTGTATAAGTTCAAGGTTTGTCTCTCATTTTCTTTTTCAAAACGGAAAAAAACATTAAGAATTGCTTGATATTGAACCTAATGTAAGTAAATTTATCTATTTATTGTAGGCCAATTGTTAGAATGTCTGCAATTGAAAGCAAAACTCTTAGTATATCTGTTGAATCCATGGCAATAAAGCCTCCTTCACATCCAACTTATGATTTGAATGGTGTCATTAAACTCGCCCTTGCTGAAGATGCTGGTGATCGAGGTTTGTTTTGATTATCTTTGTGTAAGCTTTCAGTGGGACAGGCGCCGATCATAGAGTGATTACAAGCCACTCGCACTGATGTGGCACGCCGTGTGTGCTTATCCTAGTGTAGAGTTTTTGTGTTTGGTGACATTTGTGGTTCAATTGCAGGGGATGTAACTTGTTTGGCAACTATTCCATTTGATATGGAAGTGGAAGCGCATTTCTTGGTGAAGGAGGATGGTATAGTTGCTGGAATTGCACTTGCGGAGATGGTATTTCATGAAGTTGATCCTTCTTTGAAGGTATAGAAGTACATGCTTTGGTGTTTGGTTTCCATGCTTGATAATCAGTATTAATGTATATTTTTTTATCAGGTGGAGTGGTCCCAAAAAGATGGTGATTACGTTCGTAAAGGATTGCAGTTTGGGAAAGTTTACGGTGAGTTAAGAAAAAGAAATTTGTTTTGAAGATAATCATTGATATGCTATGTTTTAACTATTTGTTTTGTTTGTATGCAGGACGGGCGCACAGCATTGTTGTTGCTGAAAGAGTGGTGCTAAATTTTATGCAGCGGATGAGTGGGATAGCGACTCTGACTAAGGTCTTTTTTACTCTTGAACTTTTTTTTTTTTTAAATTGAAATCAAGCAATTAGTCTCAGAAACTTATGTGTGGCTATCATAATGATTCTTATTTACAGTATTGTTTGTTGTTGTGGTTGGGACATGTAAGTGGACAAGTTGATGGGTTTGAGGATGAGAGTGGTGTGTGAGTGTGTATTCTCACTATGTGAAAAACGAAAATATATTTAAATAAAGAGGGGCTCAATTCTCTCTATATCCTTTGTAGTAGTTTGCAAGTTTTAGTCGCAGCTTTTTGTAGTATTTGCAAGTTTTAGTCACTGCTTTACCTTTCGATGTCTTATACTTGGCTATTGTTGTCGCTAAGAGAATAAGCCCTATGCACCTGTTTAAAAGATTAGAACATTAGATAAAGTACAATCAAGAACTAATAATGGAAGATAATAGCATGACTTTCATCGAAAAAATGCGAATAGATTTCAGGGTTGCAGTGAATTGAATGAAGTCATGGACCTAGCAATTGTTGGCTGCTATTATATCTTTGTTAGACGTGCAGGACATGAAAAATATTTTTTATGCTTTCTGCAGGCAATGGCCGATGCTGCACGCCCTGCATATATTTTAGAGACACGAAAAACTGCTCCAGGTCTACGTTTGGTGGATAAATGGGCGGTGAAGACCTTTCCTTGATCTCTGACTAGGTGTAAAATCTTTTTGAGTTTGATATAATATTTGGTTATTGTGGTGGAAATTCTCTTTTTATAGGTACTAATTGGTGGAGGACGGAATCACAGAATGGGTTTATTTGATATGGTGATGATAAAAGATAATCATATATCAGCAGCTGGAGGGATAAAGAATGCCATCAGATCTGTTGATGAGTTTCTAGAGAAAAGGAATCTCCAAATGGAGGTTGAGGTAATTTCATTATCTACCTTGCATCTTGATTTTGCTTGTCTTTTGAATTTGAATTTTGTTATAAAATTTATAAACTAATTTCCCCTTTTAATCCTCAAAGTTTTCTAGAATACTTTGGTGGAGTGTGTGTGTAGATTTGTATGATTATGTGAATTATATTTTCTTTCCACAAATTGTTTTAGGTTGAGACCAGGACGTTTGAGGAGGTAAAGGAGGTATTACATTATGCATCAGAAACAAAGACTTCTCTCACCAGGATAATGTTGGACAATATGGTTGTCCCACTACCAAATGGAGATGTTGATGTATCGATGCTGAAAGAAGCCGTGGAATTGATTAATGGCAGATTTGAGACTGAGGTACCTCTTAGTTGCAGTTGTGCATTTATTTTCTTGTGTTTTATTTGTTGCAGTGTTGTTGTTAGTTATCCATATAGATAAACAATCACTACTGATGTCTACTTTGTTCGTAGACTATCCTCCTGCTAGACAGCCTGCTAATGTTTAATTTATTACACCACCTTGTAAGAAAGGTGCTTTGTCTGTTTGGTGTTGTGATCTTTGAATAGGAGAAAAATTTAATCTAAATCATGGAAGATCTCAATCAAAATTTAAGCTTCTTTAGTATGGGCTTTTTACCCTATGTACATGCCGAGAGATTTCTGGTTATAATATTTATAGGGGTTCTTGGTTATCAGCATGAATCATGTTTGCAGTAATGATTGTTTTTCAAGGCTTCATTATCTAAAAATTCCTATACAAGCCGTCTTGTTCTTTTGGGGCATCAAGTTTCGTCCCACCAGATATCATGAATGTATAATTGGCTTTTGACATTGGACAACTGCTTGTTGCTTTTGATACTATTTTGCATGCTTTATGAGGTGAAACTGATTTATCTGTTTTATGGTCAAAGGCATCGGGAAATGTTGCTATTGAAACGGTTCATAAAATTGGACAAACTGGGGTGACCTACATCTCCAGGTAAAATTTTCAACTCTTGTAGAGGCTTTGATTGATGCTATTCTGCATGCACAATGTAAATTTTTGTCCTAAACGGGGAATTTAAGGCCTGCAAAAGTTATTGAGTTAATATTACTCATAACAAAAAGTAGCTAGTTACTACCCATTGAGCATGGTGTTCTGCTCCTTCAGTTAGAAATATTGATCATTACTTTCTGGAACATTGATATGCAACTTGAGTGTGCACAATCAAGCAGGAATGATATCTGCTTGTGGGTAGTATTGCTGTTTTGTTTTAGCCAAAGAGAGCACTATGTCGCACTTCATGCACAAAGGTTATATATCCTAAATTAATGGGTTACTTATAAAACACTCACGGAGAAATTGGGGATCACTGACTTTGTTATTTTCTGCTTGTTATCGTAATCTATTAAAGTTTGAGAAGATTGGTGGTCTCCTTCCTCATACAACTTCTTGTATGGAATCTCATGCATTTGTCTTTTAAGCAAGTTATTATATAATTCCTTTCTATGGTTTTCATTTTACTATGTCCTGAACTTTGCAGTGGTGCGCTAACACATTCTGTTAAAGCGCTTGATATCTCCCTCAAAATCGACACAGAATTAGCACTTCAAGTCGGAAGGCGTACAAAACGAGCATAAAACTCTTTTTACATCTTATATACTCCTTTTTACAGGAAAATTCTACAGTCAACACCTTCATTCTCCTTTCGTCCACAATAAGGAAAGAAGAGCAAGAACCTAGTCTTTTTCGCCCCAGGGAAAACTGACACTTTTGTTGACATTTTTGTACCATTCAACCTCTTTCGCATCGAATACATCCGCAAATATGTAAGTATTCAACCCAATAATTCAAATATATATTGTGGTGGCATTTTACTTTAACGTTTCCCAAAAGCTGAAGCAAATTGTGTTTGAAAAGGTTTACATTGTAGCAGGCTTACAAGTTACACTTTTCTCGTACTTTGTTATTACTGCTCATCGAAGACACTTTCTGATGGCGATTTATAGCTAAAACTTAGAATTAGCTTTTAACTGAGGTTATTTATAGTTTAAAATCTTGACTTTGAACAAAATGTGAGGTTGAAAAAAAGGCAGAATAATGATAATAAAGTCTGCTGTGGAATTGCTTGGTATCAAAGTTAGGCAACATTTTCAGAAAACAATGAAAGCACTTTTATTCAGCATTTTGAAACCTTAAGGCAACTTCAAGAATTCTTCTTTTATTCTGCCCCCCAATCCCATGTTACAGTTGGCGTATGAAGGTCACCAAACTATGCAAAAAGCTTTACTGGTCAAACACAAAAAGGTTAAATTCATATTCTGGAAAATGACCTATCCATCTTTCTTTCTTTCTTTTTCATTTTAATCATATTTCTTTTTCAGTTCGGTAAAATGTTTAATACAAACGTAACGTTTGATATGAAATTTAAATACAGCTTTTTTATTTATGAAAAGAGTAAAATACAATTTCGTTCGATTGATATATCAATTAAAATGTTTTCGAAAACAATCTTTTGGTAGAATTTAAATTCAATTTTTTATTTTTTATTTTTTGTTTTTGTGAAGGGAGTAAAATATGTTTTGTTTTATTGAATCAGTTAAAATATTTTCATAAACATTTTTTGGAGATTTTTGAATTGTATTTGTAATTTTTGGATAAAAAAAACTAAATGGGATTTGTCTATCTGATTTTTTTTTTTTTACAGTACAAGAAATCAATTATCAAATTTGTTTGTTATTATCAAGAAAATGACTCAGATTTTTTGGAATTTTCTGCAGCTTTATATGACCTTTCACATGAAGGTCGTCATACTTTTAATTTTACAATTTAATATTATATATAATTATTTATTAAAATCAGAAGTTAAGTGTTAAGACAAAGAATTTCCAATTTCAAGGGTTAGTCAAGAGTCTCAACACAACACGCGAAAAATAAGAATAAATAAATAAATAAGGTCTGACAAGATTCCAAATTGCTTTGGTGATTATTTATTTTATTTTATTTAATTAAATGTATAATTATTTTTTCAGTTGCAATTAAGATAAAACATGTGATGGGAAATGTGAGATATTATTATTTTTTAATTATGAATTAAGCATTAGATTAGACAAAGAGAATCAAATTACGGTATTTAATGCACAATCTAGGGCTTGAATAAGACATAAAAACTGTCAAATATTCTACGGAGTAGGTAAAATTGTTATATAAAACAAAAAATAATAATTATTAAAATATTTGTTGTTTAATATTTTTGTCACGCACTCATTTCATACGCTAAATTTTCTTTTACAAATTTAGAAGAATAATTGAATTAACATGCTGATTCTATTTAATTTTTCATATTTCTTTTATAATTTGTTTGGTTCAGCTTCTTTCAATAAAGTTTAATAAATTATTAAAATCGAGTTTATTGGAGTAAATCTAAAATAGAATTTGTTAGTTATTTGATTAGATGAATTTAAAAGAGTTTTTCAGTCTTAAATTAATAAAAGGGTTTTAAAAAACTTACCGTAATGAACTAATTCATAATTTTTATTTTTTTTTAAGTTGCAACCAAACAAAAAAAAAAAAAATTTCTTTATTTGTTGTGATCAAATCATAAACCGAAGGCGAAACATCACGAACTTTTGATATAAGAAAATTACTTTAATTATTTATTTGAAAGGGCAATTATGTTTTAAGATAAACTTGAAACATTCACAAGCACGTGGTGTTTTATTAAAAATATTTGATTATTTATATTGATGTAAAATAATAATCATGGATAAAGTATAAATAAAAGAATTGTATATATATATTTTTTTAAAAGGTAATGGATTAGAACTCCCAACTAAGAAAGACAGAAAGAGGAGACAAAAGGTTAAGTAGTTGTGCAACATGACTTGGCCCTTTAGAAAAATATATGGCCACTTTTGTCTACTTGATGCCTTCGTAGTAAAGAAAAGAGTTCTGTAAAACTAGCACGTTTATATATACATTGTCGGATTAAAATATTTTAGATGGTCGAAGATTTAATACAATTTATATAATTATGATATAATAGAAATGACATCATTTAAATGTAATAGTTTGTTTTTTTTTTTTGGGTTAAACTTGATCTGAAACATTTGAAACTTGAACGATTTATCAAATAGTACAATTTTTGATAAACTAGAAACAACGATCTTTGATCATGAAAGTTTTCCTTCAAACGATACACTGCCCATTTGCCCAACAACCTAACTTATATATGTAGTTAGGTGCGGACACTTTTATCGTTTTAAAATTATTTTCATGTTTTATCGCACTATAAAACGAAAATCATGTTTTATTTAACCCTATCTATGTTAAAAAATAAAACCTCATTTTTTTTATACAATTATTTTTTAAATAAAATCATAAATTTCGAAGGCAATTGTCTTAAAACAAGCACATTTTAAAGTTTTCAAAAGTTTCTAAAAAATGCACATATTGGATCAACTAATTAATTGTCATAAATGATTATTGACCAATATTCATATTAAAAATTTGTGGGCTAAATTAATTAATTGTCATAAATAATTGATTATGGTTTTAATTATTTTAGAAAATATAAATTGATTCTGGTGGGCTAAATTAATTAAATTATATGGGGAAGGCTACATATTGGCATGCCAAAACTTGCAAAAATAAATATTAATTAATTAATTAATTAAAAGCTGACCTAACTTATAATTTATAATTTTATTATAATAAAATAAAATAGTGAAGTCCCCATCACTTTCGATAATGCCTCTTAATCAAAGGACGCTTGAAGGGTCAAAATCAAGAGGCTCATTGGTAGAATTTTGGTCTCATTCCTTTTAGAATTTAATGTTTGATTTTTTTTTTTTTTAATTTCTTTCTAATTAAGTTTTAGATTGATCTCAACTAATTAAGCATTTTAATTTAATTACTATGGGAGCTCATGGTTTTAATTAACTGCATTTTAGACCTCCCATTTTGGGTATTATAATTAAATAGTAGTAGTTGGTTTGGTGTAAAGTATAATATAAGGTAATAATTTAACTCAATCTAACATTTATTATTTGGTTTGATGATTTTACAGGTTGGGAAGTTTTGATATAAATTCATCAAGACCATATATAAACTAGGGGTGTTCGGTTCCGGGTACCCTGCACTTTTGGAAGGAACCGGAACCGGAACCGGAACCGACGGTTCCTTGAATTTTGGAACCAGAACCGGAACCGACGGTTCCGGTTCCTAGATACCCAGAACCAGAACCTGTAACAACGGTTCCGGTTCTGGTTCTGGGTACCCTGTAAAATTTATTTTCTGTCCCCCAAGTGTTTAAAATAACAAAAAAAACTCTTAAAAACTTACAAATACCCCCCACTTGGCACTTGTATAACAAAATAATTATAAATTTCAAATTTCAAACTCCAAAATTAAAATAATACAATACTCCGTTGAAAATCACAAATTCAAATATAAACTCCAAAACTAAAACGATGAATTACAAAACAGATTTCACTCCTCAGCTCACCAAAATGTCTTTAAGGAAACTGCATTTCCTTTGCTGCCCCTGTCCAGTGAATTTCCCAGGCTGCCCTTTTCTTCTCTTTGTATAATTTGGTTGTAGGAGGCTATTCACAATGACATTGTTCCTGCAAAAAATTTGCCAATTCAACTTCAAAGAATTTAACATACATATAATGTTTAATAAACATAGTGACCAAAGGCAACTTCCTTATGCCATGGGCTGTTTCTCTTGTGTTCTATAAAAAAAAATCAAAATCTGACCCAATTGATTAAGACATTCCAAAAAATTCCTAAAAGACAGCAACAAGCAAAGAACCCCAATACAGAATCATTGCCATCTCCCAATTGTGAGATGAATAAAGAAAAAGTGCACATCTTTAATTCCCAGGAATGGAAGCCCGAGGAAGCCCAATACTTGGCCAAGCTCATAAATACTAGACTTCTCCCCATTATATGTTTAAAACTCTACTGACTCCACTTTCAATTTTACTTTTCTATTTCAGTATACTGGACGGGAGAATTTAAAAGACATGTATACTCTCTTGAATATTGGCTTACACCACTTGGCCTTTCTTTTAAAGGAATCAATCATCAAAGAAAATTAAATGCATACAAATCCAGCCCATAGCTCAATATGAAATACTAGAAATTACGCATAATATTGTGGAATGGAAATGGGAAAGAATAAAAGAATGCAAATAATATACATCAGCAATGCAGAGAATAGAGGGGATAGAAAGAAAGAATATACCAGGTAATTCTGCCACTGATTTACTGCAAGCAAACTTTTTTTGCAGCTCTGATGCTAATGCTTCAGCATCCAGCAAGAACGATTCCAGACCTGAAACTTTTGTCACCTTCTTGTTCTTGTCGCGTTCCGTTAATATCTGAATTGTTTTCAGAGCACCTTTACGAACAACAGACTGTTTCCTCGGGTCACAACATGGTGGGGCTGCATCCGGCTAAAATAAATTCAAACACGCATACACATTTCTTAAAATAAAAGTCCTGTCCGGGCTTTGACACAATACTCAAAGATCACAATACCCAGCACCAGCACAGATATATAAAATCAAATCCTCACAAATAAACCTAGAGCTAACTTGTAACCACTTTTACACAATAATTAATCAGTATCACATTAGAGAGTATAAGGAGATAGTGTTCATTTATGGTTAAATAAAATCAGAAATAAAATTAAAAGAAAGAAATGGAAATTACCTTAAGAAATTAGAGTGCTTTAGTGTCTTCTTCTAGATTCAAGGATCACGCTTCACCAACAAAATTAAAGAAAAAAAAGGCTGAAGTTTTTGCCTGATCTGAAGTGAGTGGACAGAGAGCAAGGCAGAGGAAGACGTGAGAAGGGAAGAAAGAAAATGAAATTTTTTGCCCT